GCTCTGGAGTCCACTTCTTATGTGGAGACATTAGCAGTCAGTGAACTGATACAAACTTTCTCTTCACCAGACCAAACTGGTCCTTTCATGTGGTGTCACAGTGGAGAGTATTTAGCTTGTTGCTGTTATGCAAGTTGACATGGGTGGTGTGGGGAATGGCAGGCCTAGAGCTGGAGAATGACAGACACAAGTTCGAGGAACCAAGTTTTATCCTTTATCTTACAAAAAAACCCTATGCTTTAAGCTGGAGAATGAGAGACAAAATTTTAAGGGACAAAGTTTTATCCCATTTTTTACAAAAGTGAAAAAAAACTTTGAAGCTTGTTTGAAATGGTGTTAACCCTTTACATAGCATGATAACCTTAAACTAGAGATTTAAACAGACTGGGTCTCTGTTATTAAGAAAAAATGTCTTCTCAGCTTCTTTTAGAGTATTTTCCTTCAAGGCAGTAAAGATTCAGATGTAAAACCAAGCACATGTAAATTTATCCTTGGGCTATAATATGCACCTAAAATACTGAAATCTGCCACTAAGCTAAATGACAGGAAAAATCAAATCAAATTTCTGCCAGTGGCATCTTCATCGCAACTGATTATCTCGAATGTTTTCAATGATGCACTGACGAGTGGGCCGATTTTCTCCCTCATTTTCTCTCTGGACTGCCACATAAAACTCAACAGCCTCAGGATCTAACTAAGCCACTTAACACTGGCAAAATATGCACCTTTTTTCACTTTAGTTCCTAACCATATATCCTTCAAGGTATGTGATCAACATTCATGTTAATCCATCTGCTTCTTTACATTTTATGTTACACAAACTTGGTTGTAACAGCAGTTATTTCCCAAATATGTTTTTTAAAAATGCACACTGCCAAAGCAGACAAAAGAAAAAAGCACTTTTAGAGGGCTTTTACAAAAATCTTTGAAGCAAAAAATGGACCAATTTTAGGCGTTAGCTACAAACAACCCAGAGTCATTTTCATTACTGGTTCAAATCCCTTTGAGGGCGCTTTGATTGAATTTGGTAGCTCTCAGCTAAAAACATTCCACACACGACAGTTGTTTGAGAGGGGAGTAAAAAGAAGCCTGGCAGGATTTTTTTTTAGATGGACACTAGACACTGTAGTGTCTCTCCAGATAGACTGACAATGGTGACTGCAATGTTAGTTGACGTACCAACTTAGATGTCGGCTTTTTTTTGGGGGGGAGAGATAGCATGGTTATTTACAGCATCTGATCATATGGTAAGATATTCTCTAATCTATGTTGACAGAACCCCTTGTCACTGGAAAATGAAACCCCTTATTATGCCTTACTAGGACAACTCTGAAAGAGTTATAACTATGGTTTTAAAAAATTCAAAATAAACTGATCCTTTGATCATTTCAATAAAGAATCATTTTTAAGAACACACTTAATAATAAATAAAAAACATATTTCATTGGTATTCTCATGGGTAAAGAACAAATAAAATTTTCTTTCTCCACTGTCACAAAAATTGCATGGTCTACCAGCAATTCACCAATAATAGCATCTTATAACACAAACCACAGCCAAATTTGCTTCTAAAGACCCAGCATTCATCACTACATAGTCTGGAAATGTTCCGTACTGATGCAGGTAGTGATAGAAAGATAAAACAGAAATATGATTTTGTTCTCGTCTATCATTTTATACCCCCAAGCAATGACAATTGAGCCCTCAGTCTACATTATAAGCCCCTGTTTTTAAAAATTGAAACCTCCTATCTGAACTCATCATCGGGGCACCGCGTCTGTCATTATCAGAATCCTTTGAGAGGGAGGAACTGTATGTTAAATAAATATTCCAAATTATAGGTTGTCAAATTTGAAATGACAAATATAATCATTGTAAAGTTGCTATTCAAAATATCTTGTATTTTGGAAAAAAGGCGGCAGAAAATGCATTTAGCGCTGTATGTCTTAAGAGTACAGAGGCTGGAATACAAGCTTATCTGTCATGATTTCGCTATTTAGTTGAACAAGCCAAATGCATCAACATTGCCTGCCAACGACCACCTCAGAGACGAGAGTTCTCTTACGCAGGCTTTCTCTCCTCCAGGCATGTAGCAAACAGGCTTTCAACTTTCATATAACCATCAAAAGGCACAATAATTCAAGACAGGCAAAATTTTGAAACACCCTGCTTCACTTTTCCTAAGGCAGTCAACATTTTTTCAGTGACCTCAACTGTAATTTTTTTTTTTCAATTTACTGTTTTACTTTCCAGTCAGGTTTACACGCTTTCCATGAAGTAACTCTAGGTATGGGCTGAAGAATAAACACATCTACCATTTAGCAACAAAACCTTTCTGTAATCATCTTTCAGCTATAAACCACTTACTGAGCAAGGGACTTATTTTTGAAGATACTGACTGCCAATAAAATAAGAAGATGGCCGCTTAGTGTTAATAAGTGAAGACTACCTGCTCATAGGTTTCTGTAGGAGTGTTAATAAGTGAAGAATTAGTTCCAGGTACTGGTGTTTTAAATAGGCTTAATAAAATAATCATTAGTCTTCTTCTAGCTGTGCAGGGAGGTTAGAAAGATGTGAACATCTGTCGGGTCAACAGGCCGCCTGTGTAGAGCAAATAACCCAGAGTCAAGGACCACACTAGGAGTTTCGGCTTATTATTAATAACGCAGATAAGATAAGAGGATAAAAACATAGGTCTTCACTTGAACTTAAGGCTCAGTAATAGGCACCCGGAAAGTCAAGATGTTTTTATTTTTGTAATCGCTCTATTTGAGCATCGCATTTTTTTTACCTTACAGAATTAGTCTAAATGGAAGGTTTCTGCTTGGATGTGCAAATCGTAAGGAACACATGCTAAAATTGATGACACCAGAGGGCAGTAAAAGACTAAATAGCAAGAAATCTCATCAAGCAGGTTTTGAGGGTCAAACACTTCTAGTCACTTTTTCAATTTTTTTTTCATATCAGGTATACTGAGGATAAAAACAGATCCAAGGTTTACAAATAAAGCCCTGATGTAGTGTGAAGGCCAAAAATATCTAGGAGGTACCTGTATCAGTGTAAATTAGACAACAACAAAAAAATCTGAACATTTATCATGGGACCCAACACCTAACCAGCCTGAATCATCAGAATTGAATTAAAAAAACACGGAATTCTGCATTTCTGCAGAAAAAGTTTATGTCCAGTGTAAATACAGAGACCAAAGTGCTGCCCATGACTGTGCAGTGTAGAATAGTACAGGTCACCTGAGCTGTCATCTGGCTTGCAGGAAGGGTGCTCACATTTGTGATGAATTCAAAAATCAGCAATAATACCCAACATAATCATCACCTCCAGTTATACAGTAGTCTGTATATAAAGCAGTGACTTCATTCTATTGGCTGTCAGTACCGTTTTTCATCAGCTTAACGCAGACTTCATGTCTCAATAATGAGCAGAGAGTTGGTAATGGGGGTAGCGAGGATGAGCCCAAAGATTTGAGCAAATGTTCAATTTGTGCAGCTGAGGTCAACAGATCGCATAACAGGAAAAGAGTACATCTGATAGCAGATCATCATTTAATTGGAGCAGGTTTAAAACAACAAGGGGCACCTGCTCTGGGAGATGACCTCTGTTGACCCCAGAACACTGGCCTCACCCTGGCCAAGGCTGGGAGGACAGACTCTCTGCACTAGGTTCTATTCTCTTCTATCCGTTGTTAATTGACCAAAATCAAAAAGCACCTGGTTTGGTTTTATTCTTTTCATTCTAAGAGGGTCTGGTTTACAAATGTTGATGGCAAAATCCTGCTGGTTTCAGAAATTAAATCATGCTGAACAGATTTGCTTAGATCCTTCAAGATTCAGATATATTGGTGAATCCAATGCAAGTCTGACCTAAGTCATTCTAATTTGACCAAAATCAAAACTCCTGCTTATGGATGTTGAAGGCAAAGTCGAGCTGGTTCCAGAAATCTAATCATATTGAACAGATTTCCTTGGAGACTTTCACAAGTCAGATATATTGGAGACTCCAATCTAAGTCTGAACTAAGTGAACATATCTAAAGTAGACAGAACAGATGGTCAATCAGTCTACTCAACAGTCAATTAAAAGCTTAATTAAGCTGCTGCTGAGACCAGGTAATTAACACCTTCACATCCAGTGGATTCCTTAATCCTGATCTGAAATTCATAATGGATAATCTAACAGGAGATTACCTCAGGTATAGGGGTTTCCAGTGTTCAATTGGTGCTACCAATTAACTTGCCAGGAAATGAAGTCTGATGGGAAGAGGAAGAGCAATAAATTCTCAGTCTCAGTCAGTCGTGGTCATGGTGTCATTACAATAATCATCATTATAACAATAAGGATAGCATATTCAGTACCAGCATGATTTTATAACAAGATTTGACCTTAAAACAACTATGCAATACATATAGTGACAAAAAGAATTAGCAATGACTAGTGGTCAAAGATACTAAACAGAACAAGATGGGTAACCAGTCATTTGAATGCATACTTCCTAGCTGTCTGCAAATCAAGGGGGGGTTTGTGTACTGATTATCTTTATTCAATAATACGTATTTGCCCCCCCCCCCCAATGTTTTAGAGTGCACATCATTTATAACCTATAATGTGTATTTGCACTGTCTGCTAATGCCCTTGAAATCAATTACACAAATATAACTCATGACATTCATACAACATTCACACAAAGTCAAGAGATCAAGTAAAATTACTGCATATAAATATCAGACCACTCTATATCAATATCATAATTGTGATTGGTTTTGACAAAATACTGGAAAAATGTTACACATTATTTAACACAAATTGTTCAAATGTTGGATTGATCAGAGTAGGGCTGGATCAGGATAAAATCCCAGAACTTCAGGGAATTCCCCTTTAAAAGAACACCTTTGATTGTAAAATAACCAACTCCAATCACCCCCTTTATAAAATCATTATTCCAAATATCCTTCAATGATCTTGTCCAAAACATGTGCTGCCCCCTACCTGTTTTTCTGTCAATGTTAAAGAATGCCTGAGGATTCCCGGTCTTGATTTCGTAGGTAAGCCCCGAATCCTCGTCTTCATCCTCTGCCTCAATCTGGATCACCGACACACCTACATGACAGAAAAAACAAATAATTGACACATTCAATGACTTAATGTGCATAGTTTTGACAGTTAAATCAGGATAATCATTAATAACTTTTTCATAATTAATTCAAGGTCAATTACCAACCATTTTTTCTCTGTAAAACTGAAGTCCGAGTCTCCACAACACAGTCTAGGTTATGACACTTACCGGACGGACTGTTCTCTTTCACGGAGGCGTAATAGATTGGTTCTGGCGTCTGAGGACTGTTGTCATTTTTGTCCTCCACTTCCACAAGAACCCAGGCCACTGAGTGCAGGGGCACGGCACCTCTGTCCTGAGCATACACAGTGAGCCAGTAGCGGGCTTGGCTCTCGCGGTCCAACACCTCGTTAGTACGAATCCAACCTAAAAGTAATCAAAGCAATGGCTTAATTAAATATTAAATAACAAAACGCAATAAGGGGAATTTTCCCTTCCCTAAAACCCAGATATTACAAACCATGAATATAAACAATATATAACTTGCTTCATTACTAATACATTTGTCACAGATGATGGTTTCTCATAAAAATATTTCTGTGGAGTATTTGTTTTTTATTTGTTTTGACACTTAATATTATCTAAACTGCGCTTTTACTCAATTTTTGGATGTGTATTATCAAGTTGAGTTGAGTAGAGTAGGGTATGGTGAGCTAGACCTGGGTAGCATATGGAAATGTAGGGCAGGGTATGATAGAGTAAGGTAGGGTATATGTACTTTGTATTTGAGGATGGGTGGTGAGTAAGAGCTTATTCAGAACAGCGGACTAACAGATCTGCTGATCAAATATGGCTGACCCACTTAGTTGCTTATTGTGTAATACCCGCAGGAAATCTATTCAGTATCTAATCTTGAATTAAGCAGCATGCTTTTAGTGGGTCGCCATATTTGATCTGCAGATCTGTTAGTCCACTGTTCTGAATGTGCTGAGATGGATCAATCCTGTTAGATCATTCTAGGTATGGGGACCCAGTCTAAGTGTGTGCATGCTGCTGCCACTTATTTTCTAGTACCACTCTTCTCTCCGGCATATCCTTAGGAGTACAAACTGCTACGACCCACCCAGTCATGCAAAGGCTCAATATATCACTGGCCTTAGTCGCATGATCACACAGATAATAACTGTTTCCATATACATTGTATTTGATAAAAGAAGGGCATTAGCATAAAGAGGGTCTTAAAGAATGAACAAGCCCCATTAAAGAGCTTCATTCACAACTTGTACAGTCCTGAAAATGGACAGGAGCAGCAACCTCATGAACTCTTGTCTGACCTACATAAAGAGAGACTGTCATAAAAACATTATGCTATCACTAAATGATACAACTTATACTTAGCATAAGACATTACTGAGCTCGTAGATGTTAATAACTTCACCCTATTTTTTTAAACTCTACAAACACCTGTGGTAATTTTTTTAATCTGCAGTATCATCGGTCATTACGTGAACAACACCATCGTCATTATACTTATCTTTTGATCCTGCCAACCCATTAAATACTTGATTATGAAACACATTTTCTTGCAGAAAACAGGAAACAATTATTACCACGAAATCATAAATTAAACGATTTTTGGAGAGTCACAGGTGACAACTGACAGGTGCTTGTGTACTTTGTGAATGAATCTTTTTTCTTTTTACGTAACCCGGATATACCCATCATGTGTTCTTCTTCTACAAAGATGGATTTTTTGTCTGCACAACACCATTAAGGCAGACTTAATTTTTTTTCACAAAAAAAACTCAGGTGAACCTACAACCTCTACTCTACACCCACATAGAGTGACTTTGTAACTATTTACAAACTTCTTAATACTTCCATAAGTCAGAGAGTGAGAGAGAAAGATCACCGTGATGCTCCCCACTAGACAAGGTAATAATAATAATCTCTCCACACAATCATTAGTTGAGAAGCAACCCCCACATCAGTTTGGCACCTCTCTCTCATTAAAGTCTATCATTTTATCAACCAGATGCACACCAAAGAATGTCCCATCTTAATCAGTTGTCTCTGGTTACAACTTTGGCTTGACTAATCGCATGCTCTTGCCCCCTTGAACAGATAGAGCTCTGCGTGAGGTGGGAGAAGTAAACCCCCAATACGGAGGCGGGTGCTTCAGACAAGTGCTTGTAATGCACGAAAACAGTTACATTAAAATTGTTGATGTGCAGCCATTGGCGCAGCTCATCATTCCATACTATCTCAGCAACCTAGCAGCCTGGGCCTGTTCACACAGGGGCTAGTTTGGACTGGAAAGTGAACTGAAATGACTCAATACGTGAGGTACAGAGGGGACTCTTTGGGAATTTCATCCTCCAAAAGGAGATCTCTTTTTTGCTGAGACACTGTAAAATTTTTTTTTTCATTCAGTGATTCAACTCGATACATATAACAGGTCTAAAAATGTCCTAGTGTGAACAGTTATTTCATCCAACTTTTTTTCCACTGTTTTGTAATTATCAAGGGGCCTTATCTGCCCTTATGTCAGCACTTAAACTGGGAGAGGAGAGGAGTGTTATATCACGTCAGCAACCCCATGTCAACCACCTCTCTTATGTGAAGAGAGGACATGTCTTCACTCCAGATAACAATCCACTATATTCATGTCTGCTGCCGACTTCCTCGTGTCCTGATCTATGACATATGGATCACAGGGAACACAGAGGGGGGAGAGAGGCGAAACTCCCACCATTTTCTATCATGGGAAAGGTCATGCATCCCTACATCTATAGAACAATCTATCTGACTACAAAGGATCAAAATACATATTTGGTTATAAAAAGCACGACTGGAAAGTCAGGCCAATAAAAAACACTTCGCTAGCAGACTCTGCTGACAAGCTGCCAATTTTTCTATATGCGATAGCTTGAGAAGATATAATAATACAGTTCCCAGAGCAGTTCACACAAAAAGCTCAAAGCAACAAGGCTGTCAATCTGAACCTAATTCTCACTGTGTAACTGTTTGGTTCAATTTCTTGATAAAGAGACTAAGGGGGGGGGGGGGGNCTCATCCAGAACAGGGGACTAACAGATCTGCTGATCAAATATGGCTGACCCACTTGAATGCTTGTTGTGTAATACCCGCAGGAAATCTATTCAGTATCTAATCTTGAATTAAGCAGCATGCTTTTAGTGGGTTGCCATATTTGATCTGCGGATCTGTTAGTCCACTGTTCTGAATGCGCTGAGATGCATCAATCCTGTTAGATCAATCTAGGTATGGGGACCCAGTCTTAGTGTGTGCATGCTGCTGCCACTTATTTTCTAGTACCACTCTTCTCTCCAGCATATCCTTAGGAGTACAAACTGCTACGACCCACCCAGTCATGCAAAGGCTCAATATATCACTGGCCTTAGTCGCATGATCACACAGATAATAACTGTTTTCCATATACATTGTGTTTGATAAAATAAGGGCATTAGCATAAAGAAGGTCTTAAAGAATGAACAAGCCCCATTAAAGAGCTTCATTCACAACTTGTACAGTCCTGAAAATGGACAGGAGCAGCAACCCCATGAACTTTTGTCTGACCTACATAAAGAGAGACTGTCATAAAAACATTATGATATCGCTAAATGATACAACTTATACTTAGCATAAGACATTACCAAGCTGGTAGATGTTAATAACTTCACCCTATTTTTTTTTACTCTACAAACACCTGTGGTAATTTTTTTAATCTGCAGTATCATCGGTCATTACGTGAACAACACCATCTTCATTATTCTTATCTTTTGATCCTGCCAACCCATTATATACTTGATTACGAAACACATTTTCTTGCAGAAAACAGGAAACAATTATTACCACGAAATCATAAATTAAACGAGTTTTGGAGAGTCACAGGTGACAACTGACAGGTGCTTGTGTACTTAGTGAATGAATCTTTTTTTCTCTTTATGTAACCCGGATATACCCATCATGTGTTCATCTTCTACAAAGATGGATTTTTTGTCTGTACAACACCATTAAGGCGCACTTAATTTTTTTTTCACAAAAAAAAAAAAAAAAAAAAAAAAACTCAGGTGAACCTACAACCTCTACTATACACCCACATGGAGTGACTTTGTAACTATTTACAAACTTCTTAATACTTCCATAAGTCAGAGAGTGAGAGAGAAAGATCACCGTGATGCTCCCCACTAGACAAGGTAATAATAATCTCTCCACACAATCATTAGTTGAGAAGCAACCCCCACATCAGTTTGGCACCTCTCTCTCATTAAAGTCTATCATTTTATCAACCAGATGCACACCAAAGAATGTCCCATCTTAATCAGTTGTCTCTGGTTACAACTTTGGCTTGACTAATCGCATGCTCTTGCCCCCTTGAACAGATAGAGCTCTGCGTGAGGTGGGAGAAGTAAACCCCCAATACGGAGGCGGGTGCTTCAGACAAGTGCTTGTTATGCATGAAAACAGTTACATTAAAATTGTTGAGGTGCAGCCATTGGCGCAGCTCATCATTCCAGACTATCTCAGCAACCTAGCAGCCTGGGCCTATTCACACAGGAACTAGTTTGAACTGGAAAGTGAGCTAAAATGACGCCATACGTGAGGCACAGAGGGGATTCTTTGGGAATTTCATCCTCCAAAAGGAGATCTCTTTATTGCCAAGATCTTGAAATTTATTTTTCATTCATTGATTCAAGTCAATACATATTTACTGGTCTGAAAATGTCCTAGTGTGAACAATTATTTCCTCCAACTTTTTTCCACTGTTTTGTAATTATCAAGGGGCCTTATCTGCCCTTATGTCAGCACTTAAGCTGAGAGAGGAGAGAAGTGTTATATCACGTCAGCAACCCCATGTCAACCACCTCTCTTATGTGAAGAGAGGACATGTCTTCACTCCAGATAACAATCCACTATATTCATGTCTGCTGCCGACTTCCTCGTGTCCTGATCTATGACATATGGATCACAGGGAACACAGAGGGGGGAGAGAGGCGAAACCTCCACCATTTTCTATCATGGGAAAGGTCATGCATCCCTACATCTATAGAACAATCTATCTCACTATACAGGATCAAAATACATATTTGGTTATAAAAAGCACGACTGGAAAGTCAGGCCAATAAAAAACACTTCGCTAGCAGACTCTGCTGACAAGCTGCCAATTTTTCTATATGCGATAGCTTGAGAAGATATAATAATACAGTTCCCAGAGCAGTTCACACAAAAAGCTCAAAGCAACAAGGCTGTCAATCTGAACCTAATTCTCACTGTGTAACTGTTTGGTTCAATTTCTTGATAAAGAGACTAAGAAAAAAGTGGGGAGGGGGGGGGGAAGTATTTTTTTTTAATTTTTATTTGTCCTTATCAGTTTATCAAAAATGATCCATATGCCTGACCCCCCT